GCCCCATCGTTGGTGTCAGTGGGAGGAATAGTGCCCCATCGTTGGTGTCAGTGGGAGGAATAGTGCCCCATCGTTGGTGTCAGTGGGGGGGGGAGGAATAGTGCCCCATCGTTGGTGTCAGTGGGGGAATAGTGCCCCATCGTTGGTGTGTCAGTGGGAGGAATAGTGCCCCATCGTTGGTGTCAGTGGGAGGAATAGTGCCCCATCGTTGGTGTCAGTGGGAGGAATAGTGCCCCATCGTGGGTGTCAGTGGGAGGAATAGTGCCCCATCGTTGGTGTCAGTGGGGGAGGAATAGTGCCCCATCGTTGGTGTCAGTGGGGGGGGATAGTGCCCCATCGTTGGTGTCAGTGGGGAGGAATAGTGCCCCATCGTTGGTGTCAGTGGGAGGAATAGTGCCCCATCGTTGGTGTCAGTGGGGGAATAGTGCCCCATCGTTGGTGTCAGTGGGGGAGGAATAGTGCCCCATCGTTGGTGTCAGTGGGAGGAATAGTGCCCCATCGTTGGTGTCAGTGGAGGAATAGTGCCCCATCGTTGGTGTCAGTGGGAGGAATAGTGCCCCATCGTTGGTGTCAGTGGGGAGGAATAGTGCCCCATCGTTGGTGTCAGTGGGGAGGAATAGTGCCCCATCGTTGGTGTCAGTGGGGAGGAATAGTGCCCCATCGTTGGTGTCAGTGGGGGGAGGAATAGTGCCCCATCGTTGGTGTCAGTGGGGAGAGGAATAGTGCCCCATCGTTGGTGTCAGGGGGAGGAATAGTGCCCCATCGTGGTGTCAGTGGGGAGGAATAGTGCCCCATCGTGGTGTCAGTGGGGGAGGAATAGTGCCCCCATCGTTGGTGTCAGGGGGAGGAATAGTGCCCCATCGTTGGTGTCAGTGGGGAGGAATAGTGCCCCATCGTTGGTGTCAGTGGGAGGAATAGTGCCCCATCGTTGGTGTCAGTGGGGGAGGAATAGTGCCCCATCGTTGGTGTCAGTGGGGGGAGGAATAGTGCCCCATCGTTGGTGTCAGTGGGGGGAGGAATAGTGCCCCATCGTTGGTGTCAGTGGGAGGAATAGTGCCCCATCGTTGGTGTCAGTGGGGGAGGAATAGTGCCCCCCATCGTTGGTGTCAGTGGGGAGAATAGTGCCCCATCGTTGGTGTGTCAGTGGGGAGGAATAGTGCCCCCATCGTTGGTGTCAGTGGGAGGAATAGTGCCCCATCGTTGGGTGTCAGTGGGGGAGGATAGTGCCCCATCGTTGGTGTCAGTGGGAGGAGGATAGTGCCCCATCGTTGGTGTCAGTGGGGAGGAATAGTGCCCCATCGTTGGTGTCAGTGGGGGAGGAATAGTGCCCCATCGTTGGTGTCAGTGGGGGAGGAATAGTGCCCCATCGTTGGTGTCAGTGGGAGGAATAGTGCCCCATCGTTGGTGTCAGTGGGAGGAATAGTGCCCCATCGTGGGTGTCAGTGGGGAGGAATAGTGCCCCATCGTTGGTGTCAGTGGGGAGGAATAGTGCCCCATCGTTGGTGTCAGTGGGGAGGAATAGTGCCCCATCGTTGGTGTCAGTGGGGGGAAATAGTGCCCCATCGTTGGTGTCAGTGGGGAGGAAATAGTGCCCCATCGTGGGTGTCAGTGGGGAGGAATAGTGCCCCATCGTTGGTGTCAGTGGGAGAGGAATAGTGCCCCATCGTTGGTGTCAGTGGGGAGGAATAGTGCCCCATCGTTGGTGTCAGTGGGGAGGAATAGTGCCCCATGTGGGTGTCAGTGGGAGGAATAGTGCCCCATCGTTGGTGTCAGTGGGGAGGAATAGTGCCCCATCGTTGGTGTCAGTGGGGGGAGGAATAGTGCCCCATCGTTGGTGTCAGTGGGGGGAGGAATAGTGCCCCATCGTTGGTGGGTCAGTGGGGAGGAATAGTGCCCCATCGTTGGTGTCAGTGGGGGAGGAATAGTGCCCCATCGTTGGTGGTGCGTCAGTGGGGGGGAATAGTGCCCCATCGTTGGTGTCAGTGGGGGAGGAATAGTGCCCCATCGTTGGTGTCAGTGGGGTGGGAGGAATAGTGCCCCATCGTTGGTGTCAGTGGGGGGAGGATAGTGCCCCATCGTTGGTGTCAGTGGGGAGGAGGAATAGTGCCCCATCGTGGTGTCAGTGGGGGGAAATAGTGCCCCCATCGTTGGTGTCAGTGGGGGGGAGGAATAGTGCCCCATCGTTGGTGTCAGTGGGGGGAAATAGTGCCCCATCGTTGGTGTCAGTGGGGGAGGAATAGTGCCCCATCGTTGGTGTCAGTGGGGGAGGAATAGTGCCCCCATCGTTGGTGTCAGTGGGGAGGAATAGTGCCCCATCGTTGGTGTCAGTGGGGGGAGGAATAGTGCCCCATCGTTGGTGTCAGTGGGGGAGGAATAGTGCCCCATCGTTGGTGTCAGTGGGGGGAGGAATAGTGCCCCATCGTTGGTGTCAGTGGGGAGGAATAGTGCCCCATCGTGGTGTCAGTGGGAGGAATAGTGCCCCATCGTTGGTGTCAGTGGGGAGGAATAGTGCCCCATCGTTGGTGTCAGTGGGGGAGGAATAGTGCCCCATCGTTGGTGTCAGTGGGGGAGGAATAGTGCCCCATCGTTGGTGTCAGTGGGGGAGGAATAGTGCCCCATCGTTGGTGTCAGTGGGGGGGAATAGTGCCCCATCGTTGGTGTCAGTGGGGAGGAATAGTGCCCCATCGTTGGTGTCAGTGGGGGAGGAATAGTGCCCCATCGTTGGTGTCAGTGGGGGAATAGTGCCCCATCGTTGGTGTCAGTGGGGGAGGAATAGTGCCCCATCGTTGGTGTCAGTGGGGGGAGGAATAGTGCCCCATCGTTGGTGTCAGTGGGGGGAGGAATAGTGCCCCATCGTTGGTGTCAGTGGGGAGGAATAGTGCCCCATCGTTGGTGTCAGTGGGGAGGAATAGTGCCCCATCGTTGGTGTCAGTGGGGGGAAATAGTGCCCCATCGTTGGTGTCAGTGGGGAGGAATAGTGCCCCATCGTTGGTGTCAGTGTGCCCCATCGTTGGGTCATGGGAGGAATAGTGCCCCATCGTGGTGTCAGTGGGAGGAGGAATAGTGCCCCATCGTTGGTGTCAGTGGGGGGGAATAGTGCCCCATCGTTGGTGTCAGTGGGGGGAATAGTGCCCCATCGTTGGTGTCAGTGGGGGGAGGAATAGTGCCCCATCGTTGGTGTCAGTGGGGGGAGGAATAGTGCCCCATCGTTGGTGTCAGTGGGAGGAATAGTGCCCCATCGTTGGTGTCAGTGGGGGGAGGAATAGTGCCCCATCGTTGGTGTCAGTGGGGAGGAATAGTGCCCCATCGTTGGGTGTCATGGGGGAATAGTGCCCCATCGTTGGTGTCAGTGGGAGGAATAGTGCCCCATCGTTGGTGTCAGTGGGGGGGAGGAATAGTGCCCCATCGTTGGTGTCAGTGGGGGGAGGAATAGTGCCCCATCGTGTTGTGTCAGTGGGGAGGAATAGTGCCCCATCGTTGGTGTCAGTGGGAGGAATAGTGCCCCATCGTTGGTGTCAGTGGGGGGGGAATAGTGCCCCATCGTTGGTGTCAGTGGGGGGGAATAATAGTGCCCCATCGTTGGTGTCAGTGGGAGGAATAGTGCCCCATCGTTGGTGTCAGTGGGAGGAATAGTGCCCCATCGTGGGTGTCAGTGGGAGGAATAGTGCCCCATCGTTGGTGTCAGTGGGGGAGGAATAGTGCCCCCATCGTTGGTGTCAGTGGGGAGGAATAGTGCCCCATCGTTGGTGTCAGTGGGGGAATAGTGCCCCATCGTTGGTGTCAGTGGGGGGGAATAGTGCCCCATCGTTGTGTCCAGTGGGGGAGGAATAGTGCCCCATCGTGGGTCAGTGGGGGGAGGAATAGTGCCCCATCGTTGGTGTCAGTGGGGGAGGAATAGTGCCCCATCGTTGGTGTCAGTGGGGGGGAATAGTGCCCCATCGTTGGTGTCAGTGGGGGGAGGAATAGTGCCCCATCGTGGTGTCAGTGGGGGGAGGAATAGTGCCCCATCGTTGGTGTCCAGTGGGAGGAATAGTGCCCCATCGTGGTGTCAGTGGGAGGAATAGTGCCCCATCGTTGGTGTCAGTGTGGAGGAATAGTGCCCCATCGTGGGTGTCAGTGGGAGGAATAGTGCCCCATCGTGGGTGTCCAGTGGGGAGGAATAGTGCCCCATCGTTGGGGAGGAATGTCAGTGGGGGGAGGAATAGTGCCCCATCGTGGGTGTCAGTGGGAGGAATAGTGCCCCATCGTGGGTGTCAGTGGGGAGGAATAGTGCCCCATCGTTGGTGTCAGTGGGGAGGAATAGTGCCCCATCGTTGGTGTCAGTGGGAGGAATAGTGCCCCATCGTGGTGTCAGTGGGAGGAATAGTGCCCCATCGTTGGTGTCAGTGGGGGAGAATAGTGCCCCATCGTTGGTGTCAGTGGGGGGGAGGAATAGTGCCCCATCGTTGGTGTCAGTGGGAGGAATAGTGCCCCATCGTGGGTGTCAGTGGGAGGAATAGTGCCCCATCGTGTGTGTCAGTGGGAGGAATAGTGCCCCATCGTGGTGTCAGTGGGAGGAAAGTGCCCCATCGAATTGGGAGGAATAGTGCCCCTGATGCCCCATTGTGGGTGTCAGTGGGAGGAATAGTGCCCCATCGTTGGTGTCAGTGGGAGGAAGTGGGAGGAATAGTGCCCCATCGTTGGTGTCAGTGGGAGGAATAGTGCCCCATCGTGGGTGTCAGTGGGAGGAATAGTGCCCCATCATTGGTGTCAGTGGGAGGAATAGTGCCCCATCGTGGGTGTCAGTGGGAGGAATAGTGCCCCATCGTGGGGTAAGTGTCCCCATCGTTGGTGTCAGTGGGAGGAATAGTGCCCCATCGTGGGTGTCAGTGGGGGGAGGAATAGTGCCTCATCGTGGGTGTCAGTAGGAATAGTGCCCACAAATGTCAGTGAGGGGAGGACTATGCCCTCCACTGACAGTGGGGGGATGATAGTGCCCCATCGTTGGTGTCAGTGGGGGGCTGATCCTGCTCCACACCTGGGGCACTATCCCTCCACTGACACCAATGATACTTACCTTTGACTCCTGGCTCCAGCTCGCAAAATCTCCCATCTACAGCCTGCAGCAGCAAAATTTGCACTTACCTGTCGGCTGTCTTCCTTCTCTTTCTTCGATCTCGGCGCGCTGCCGCTCGGCTCCTCCTCTCCAAGCTCCACCTCCTCGCCGGTGATTGGCCGCCTGTGTGCCTCTCCTGAGCTACAGTTCCGGTGGCCAATCAGCGGCGAGGAGGCGGAGCTGTTGAGTGATCCCGGAGGTGTGGCCAGGTTACAGGGGCAGCATATCATCCCGCCCACAGATCGCCTGAGACAGGAGCGGTGTCTCGGTTCCTAAGACCATCGGAAATATGTGTTTTCCGATGGTCTTAGGCGACCCCTGTGAAATGGTCGTTCGACCCCCAAAGGGGTCGCGACCCCCAGGTTGAGAACCGCTGCTTTAAAACATCACCCCCATCTCTGCATGGTGGGGGGCTGGGGCGATCTGTGTGTTACAGTAGAACTGTGGCCTACCTTTAAATAAATGTGCTGCAGGACTTAATTATAAGTTAACACATTTAGTTACATCCTTAACTGGAGGATCAAAGCAAACATAATTATAAATTGATCTGCACTTAAATTATTATTATACAGGATTTATATAGAGCCAATAATGTGCACAGCGTTTTACAATAAAACAAGACAGAGTGCTGGCAAGCAGGGAGCACTTGCTGATGTTTTGTACTGTTATGTGGGTTTAGCACCCCCTAATGGCTGGAGGGCAAATTACTTCACTGGACCCCACACACAGAAGGATAACGTCCTTTCACCTGCCAGTGACACCTGTTCTGGCCCCAACTCTGGAGTAATTTTGAGAGGAGAGGAATAGTGCTGAGGACAGATTTCCCCCCAACAGCTCTTCTCACACTTTATACTCTTTAAGTTTAGCCCACAGGCAAAGAGGGGGGCCACCATACCTACTCTGTGAGGCCTCCCACACCATGGTTTCAAGCCATGTCCCTAGGAGTGTTGGCTATCTTAGTAAGTTGTTGTAACAATGCTGTAATATGGTAACTATGATCACTTACCATGTATGTTTTGTTCTTATATAGATGTTATAAGCTCCAGAAGAAGCGACGGCTGGTCGCGAAACATGTAGAGCACTGAATATATGGTGGATAAGGAAAACCCCATCAGTTGGAGATATATGGGAAGTCTTTTTGGACTAGTACTGCCTATGTTGCTTCAACGTCTAATAGCTCTACTGTGGTGGATGAAACTTATCCTGCTACACCATTCTCTACAATCCTAAATGTTTTTATCATTTTGTGTGATTTATATATGTTTTAAGTCTATGATAAATAAATAACAAGATTTTTAACAAGTACTTGTGTTGCGTATGTGCTAATGAAGTCCACATACATTGTCTCTTTCCCAGACTAGGCAGCGCTACTTACCCAGAACTTCTTTTACCAAAGTAAATCACTTGAACATACAGTTCTTAGTTGTTTCCATAGGAACGTGATATAGTGCAACATCTAGAACAAACAGTTCCATTCTCCTCATCTCTCAGTGTTGTGGCTGTTGTGCTAGTTTTCCGCAAGGTGGTTATTCTCTGATTTTAGCGTCCTTCTAAGGGGTAGCTCCATTCTTGGTATAGCAACTACATCCTCAAGTGTATTGTCTCACTCTTGACCCCCCAGAGAACCACAAGGTCCACCCTTCTCCTACACATATCCCTTCTAGAAAGAATGTGACACAGGCAGGGGGAAGGCACACCACAGCACACCATGAACCCCTGAGTAACCAAATATTAAGCCCTTTGTGAAGTTGTTAGTTAAGAATGGCTGAATGTTTGAAAAGTTAGCACTTCAAGTTTTCTCTTAGCCCCCTATAAGTACCTGTTGAACATGCCAATGAAGTCCACTTAATGCAGCTTCCTGTGATGTTGTAACAAGGATGCTGCAGTTCTGAATTAAGAGCAAAGTTGCCACTCTTATGTAGGCTGCTAGCATATAGGATGATCATCCGTAACTATGAACAACCCTTCAGCGCTCGCACAGAAGATGGAAAATGAGTGGAATATGAGAATAAAATGAGAAAAAAAAAGGAATGAAAACCAGTCCACAAGGTAAAAAGAATGAGGACAGGATTCTGGGGCAAAATCTGGTGTGATCAGGATGCAGCGATCAGTAGGTCCATCCAATGGATGTGTAGAATGGGAGGGGGATGAACCGTGGAGACTGGAGAACCACACAAGCAGACTGGCAGACCTTGCCAAGGATGGGGGGATCCCACAGAAGCATGCAAAGGAACAACAAGCAGGGTGCCGGGTCAGCGTGCATAAAAACAGTTGTACTTGTCTTGCTTGACAAGTTGTAAGTTGTCTTGCTTGACAAAGGAGGCGGGGCTTCTGAGAAGCATTGCGGCCCACCCCCCCCTTTCCATTCACAGCACCTGTCACTTCTCCCTACCATCAACGGGAAGGCTCGTAGAGATGCCGTAGAGTCCACAGCAGCGGGTCTCTCCTCGGGCCATGCACAGATCATTGGCTTCGCTCTTCTGATGCCCGTGTCCCTGCCTGTCAAACACACTGAGGGAGTTTTAGATGCAAGTGTTTTTAAATAAAGTACAACTAATGTTTATCAACGCTGGCCCTATGCCCTGATTGTTGTTCCTTTGCATGATTATTTAGGCTGTGCCTGTTTGTACTGCAGTGCAATAAAACAGGTTGTATTGGGGGGGGGGGGGGGGGGGTTGTAGTTATTAGCATTGTCACTGTTGTTTTATAAACCTATAGCTTGTCAGTCAGCACCTTACCTTACGTAGTTCTGCCCACTGCTTTCTGGACTGAAAGCAGTTGCTTCTGGGGTAGTACTGGCTATGCTGAAGCTTCTTCTGACAATACCCATGTCTTTGCAGGGAATCTAAAGAAAAAAGACCAGAGGGTAAAGGACCCAGAGGCCAAAAGGGGGTCCAAATGAGGACAAACTGCAGCCTTGAAAACCAAATAGACAAAAATAATTTAATTTGCAGTAAAAAAAGTACAAATATCACAAAGACATGTATGGAATGGTAAGCCAAAATATACAAAAATTACACAAAACATTACACAAGAATTTACCTCACCACCACCCAGAGGGAAAATAAGTCAGGAGCAGAATGGCAAGATCAACCTGGACAGCACCAGACATGCAAAAAGTCCCATAAAAATGTGATGAATAGTAGACCTGTGATGAATAGTATAGTCTCAAATTTGGAACAAGACAGTGAAGATGACAAGCAGGTGATGATATAGATAGCTCAAGAAGGTATGGTTATTACCAAGGACAGGATTCATGTAAAAATCACAAAACCATATAAACATACACGAAAAGTGCATAATAATAAATCTAGATAAACATGATCCTTGATGCAACCATCGAAAATAATTGGTATAATCCCTAGTATCAGGGTAAAAGGCTGAAAGTCATTCCTTAGGTATCAAGTGATGCATGAAAGTATTACAGATCTCTCATCAAAAATATGCGGTTAGGCTTATAATGCAAAATTATGTAGAATACATCTCCTCAATATTGCAGAGTGGTTAAATGATGGAAGGGAAATGGCAATATATATGACATAATATGCCCAATATCCCAAAGGTCATTTAGACAGTCAATGATTATCATGTAGACATGTATCATACAGATGGCATAATAGCTTGGTGGAGCCCATAATATGCATAATATATAGATGCCTTGAATACTTGAAGCGCAAGGGGTTGTCAGGTGAAGACCCAGTCCAGCAAAAAATGCAGATATGGTAAAGTGGAAAGCTTGTGTCAAACCTGTAACAGCTAATAGTCATCAACTGACCTGTAGCCCATGCAGGGTTAGTTGCTGAGGTCAGGGTCAGTGGAGTTGAATCCTGTGTGTTAACAGGTGAAAATCCTCCCAATATAGGGAAAGCTATCAGCCACTGTTTGGTCAGATTCCTGTTGCCAGCCCCAAACTTGCCGTGATGATAGGCTTGTAATGCAAAGTTATGTAGAATACATCTCCATAATATATCAAGAGTGGTTAAATGATGGCAAGAAAAATGGCAATATATCACATAATGTGCCCAATATCCCAGAGATTTTTTGGCCAGTCAATGATTGTCATGTAAACATATATCATGCAGATGGCATAATTGTTTGGTGGAGCCGGTGATATGCATAATCTATAAATGCCTTAAATAATGGAGCACAGGGGATTGTCAGGTAGAGACCCAGTTCAATAAAAGTCCACAAAGTTTTGCAGGGAATCTCACATAGCAGTAAGGTGTGGGTGTCGCTAACCCAGGATACCAAAGAGAAAACCCAGGGCCTGTGCCCCAGGTAGTCTGGTCTATCAATGCCCCCGTCTAAAGGTATGCACAGGCACCATTTGGTGTGACTGCACTTTAGTGATGAAGCCTGCCAGTATCTTTAAATACTAAGGTGAATTATTTGCAGTTCTAACACATTAAACTGAGAAATTTCCCATTTGGACCTAAGCAATATCCAGCATTTTGCAGTGGTAGCTACATAATAATTAAAAATGGGGCAGCACTGTAAAGATAAGTATAAGATGTTTGGGGGCTTAGCTTTAACCACTTGACCTCCAGAAGGTTTTATCCCCTTCAAGACCAAATAATTTTTTGCTGTTCAGCACTGTTTTACTGTTTTGCTATTCAGCACAAATTGTTATCATTTTTTTACACAAATAGAGCTATTTTCAATATCAAAGAAATCAATAGTCCTCAGTTATTCACGATCAGTAGATGTTCCTCAGTACGGAATGTAAGAAATGCCCACTCACCGGAACCGCACTTGATACAGTGCAGTGTATAATAGTTATTCCCTGGTGTCACTGGAAGTGTACATCTGGTTCAGCCCTTGGAAGAGTATCCCTTAGATCAGACAGGTCCAGGGTCACAGCAAATAAGGCTCCGACACAGAGTTCCCCTTAAGGGATGTGTGGGTGTTGCTTTTGCAGCAAATAGAAACCTCCCACTCTGGATGGAATCGGAGTAACACAGCTTCTGAAAAAAAGGGGGTTCTCCCCATCTGGGGTCAAAGCAAAAAGATGCCCATGGTGTGATAACGTTTGGATAAAGCAAATTTTATTTGAAAGGACAAAGGATGCATCCAATAAATAGCAATAGGAACGGCAGATGACAGTAAAACACTAACTGTCCCTAGAAGGAAATGGCCGCCGGAGCTCCACGATGCTCCGGCGGCGTGACATCAACGGCGCGAGCAGGCTCCTCCTTACGCGTTACGTGCCACG